ACTTTGGGTCTGGTGTAAAGCAAATTAAGCTGCCGTTTCTTGCAGCCAAAGTTTTGGGCAAAACCAGACCGGCAAAAAGCGGCGAACCGCCAGAAGATTACGCGTCCAAAGTTTTTGGTGCAAAAATTCGGCACTTTTTGTCTCAGATGATCGATAATTTGCGTCTGCTCGGTGTAGCAAAAAAGCAGGCGGCCGTCATCTGCGTCCCTCGGAAAAAGAGCCGGTGCACTTTTTTGCCCGAGACTGCGATATAATTTAAAGAGAGAGAGCGAGTTGCCGGCGCGCCGCTGCTGCCGAGCGCGCTCTCTGTATGTACATAGAATAATTTTTTGCTAGTGTGCCGACGTTGAAATTGTCTGCGACCAGTTTTTGTGGGCGCTCTTCTTCTTCTTGGTACTTCCATTTCTCATTGCCTTTTTTACCAGGCACGTCTCCCGCTCTCTCTCTCTGTGTTGTGTGTGCGGCAAAGTTCCATCCACATATCCATGTTTTGCTCGGCAATCTATTCTCTAATGTAGTGCAGCCGCGCGTCTTTTTCCAGCAGCACTCCACCTTTTTGCTCACTCGCTGGCGACGGCCCTAACCCTTTCTGATCGAACGAGGCTGCTTCAATCAAACTTGCCTTTTCCGCCGCCAACGGTGATAGATAGACACACTTTCCATCGCTTCTCTATATCGAACGAGCCGCCTACGCTAAAGAAAATCATCAACTTATTCGGGGATATTTTACGACATCATCACAATTTGCAATAAATTTCTTCTCTTTTCTACCTGTTTTAGTTTTCTTAAGATATAATCAGGTAAAATTACTATTTTTTTATATCAATTTTCCACATTTTTCATTAAAAAATGTTTCAAAATCAAAAGAAAATGAAATTTCCAAATTATAGTCAGTTTTTTACTAGGAAAATAAGTAGCTAGAAAATTTTTTTATTTTTAAATCTTTGGGAAAAAATTGCAAGTCAAGGTAAAACTAAGTTAAAACTTTTTTTAGCTGAATTTAAAATCAGTCATAAGCCTTAAATTTAATTATTTAAAAATATTAAAGCCAATATTTTTTTCTAAAGAACCGACTTGCCCTTCAAAACGTCAACCTTATCTATATCGTGAAATAAAAAAAGTGACCAAAATATTATATTAATGTACAGCGTTAAAAATATAACCCTTGGCTTTTGACGTAAAAAATAAATACATAGAGATTTTTTACTGCTCTTAAGGTTTTAAAACGTCAACGGTCATAACTTTTTTTTCCTGCCGAAGATAAAAATCAAAGACTGATTATAAAAACGTCTCTCCTCCAACACATCAACACCCCCACTTACAATACCGCAGCCGAACCCTTTACTTTCGATGTAGGAAAGAATTTACAACCAGAACAAATCCTCTCCCACGATTTCGGAGACCGGCAAGCTCGGCCGACTTTTTTCGTCTTGACAAAAAACAGTTGCTTTCCTTTCGATTTATTACAGTGCAGATATATCGACTTGCTTGTTTTAATTTCGATAAATCGGTCTCTCGGTGGGGCCGCTGTGCCCACGCGGTGCTTTGGCCCCCGACAATGTATAACAATGCGGTATGACCCACCAGCAAACGCTGCAAAAAATGGAGGAATTCTCAAGTGGTGCGTCCGCTGTTGGTACGATTGCAACCCACTGAGGCGAGGGTCGATTTGTATTATGATGGCAGTGAAATGAGCTAATAATAGCAAGCGTACAGAGAGGGACCCACCGAGTACATACCCTCGCAGTTGTTTGGTTACTGATCTTTCTCTAGGGCTTTGTACGTAAGTGGTCTGGTCTCGAGAAGTTCAGAAAACGTGAAAAGATAATCCAAATATAAATAATATTTGTTTTTGTAAGAATTTCAGGGCAATATCCAAAATAAAAATAATAAATGACGTACTTCTTTTCTTTATGATAAAAGTGGATAAAAGTAAAGATTTTTTCAACTGAGCCATTACATAGCTTTGCGTAATTTAGATGTAAGCAAAATTGTCTGTCACTGGAAAAGAAATTGCTCACAATTTATCACAGGCAGAGATATTTTTTTTTATATAACACTTAATAAACACGACACAATTTAAAAAAAAAATAATATGAATTTATTTTTAAAGTATTTCCAGCAGTAACATAAATAATCTGCGTGCCATAATTATAAAAGAGATTAGCGATAGTATAATTATGATTTAAAAAGTTAATAGAGGTTGATCAGATAAATATTAATTGCAATTATTACTTGATTAAAATGTAATTATTTACGGCTATGTGATTGGAAATCAGCACAAGGAAAGCAAACAGGATTATGTCAGTATAAAAATTATTAAAAGTTAATTACAATACACATGTAATTACAAACTGCCAATTTTTATGAAAATGCCTCTCTTTCAAATATTAATTGCTTTTGTTTTGCCCTTGCCTAGAATAGACTCCACTCTCAGCAAGTAAAAAAGAAAAAACAGCGACCTTCAAGGAGTGCGCTATATGATAAAAAAAATTGAAATCGTGGCGAAAGCCGTTCCATATCGATTCCAGACATGAAAAATCGAGACGCCGTACTTGTCCGCAATTAGAACTAGCGTGGAATTAAATGTGATCACAACCTTTAAATTTTTGCTTGCAAAAATAATAGCTTTTCGGTCCCCGAGGAAAGAAACGCAAAAATTTCCATAAAAAATCAATTTGAGCTCGCCGGCAGCCAGAATTCATTCTCCTCGTTTTTGCGAGTAGCGCGAAAATATTGGCGAGCCCCGGCAGAAATCCGTGGCCGCATTGCAATTAGTATTGCCTTGGTCATGAGGCTCGCGGGCCTGATTTTTTGCCGTGCGTCTCCGACCGAGCCTTGGGGTTGGAAATAGATCTGGCGGGTGCACACTCTGAAATTCATGATGCCTCTCGGTACGCCGAGCGACCCACTCGTTTTATCCCTCTCGGTACTCCCTATTTATTTGCGCGCACCGCGCCGTGGGTCAAGCACCTCGCTCGAGAGAAAGAGCACCCACCGCACGCCTCCCTCTCTGCCACAATCAAACCTAGTTTTATTTTTGGTCGGCCGATGGTGATTCGACAGTTTCAAACTTTTGGAAATTTTCACCAGATTATTTAACTATGATCAACCCTTTGTCCAAAATTAGTGGATGGCACAGAAATACGCAATCATGTAAAACTAAAAATGGTAAAATATATTCAAATTTACATGGGTTATTTTTAGTATTTGTAGAAAAAATTCTTTAATTTCAATTATTACAAACACGACCTTTGAAATTGACTTTTGAGGAATTTCAAAGTTTATAAAAATTATTGAAAAAAAATCTGACTATTTTGGTTGCTGAATTGAATCTAAAAATTTGAATCAATTATAATAAAACAATATTTTTGTTACAAAATTCGATTAGAATGACTTGCCTTAAAATTGGCGTTCCTTTTCTTATCAACCCAGTAATTAAACTGAAAAAATTAATGCTTATATTTCCCTAAAAATATTTACTTCTAAATTTCTAATTATTTTTAATCAAAAATTTTCACTCATCGTGTTGAAATAAACTACTAGTATTTTCCTCGATGAATCAAAGTTTATATTGAAGGACAAAAAGAGCTGCTTTGATGAAATAGGGCTGCAGAAAGAAGTCGATGGAACTAGAAGTTTTTTTTGTTGTCAATAAAAAAATATTGATTCCACGAGGAAGACCCGTTTCTTTGAGGGAGATTTCTTAGAGATTCGTTGCTTTTCCCTCACTTTGGCACATCTTCAGACGTCCTAACTCTTACGTGACTCAGCAAACTGCAGTCAGAGAGATTTGAAATTTAACATTGATATGTAAAAACGAGAAACAAAAGTTTTCTGAAGTTCGGTGCGACTGCCGGCAAATTTTTATGAACTCAAGCGCCGAAGAAAAAATTCTCGCACTGAGAAAATTTTTCTGGCGTCCGACCAAAAGGGATTTTCACAATTTCTTTTTGTCTCTCCGCACGTATAACAGTAAAATGTCTGTAGAATAATAATTTGTAGCAATCTCGACGCCCAGCCCAGGCAAAAAAATCAACGAATGTGACAAGCTCCAAGCTTCGAATTGCTTTTTTTTTGCTGACCAGACTTTTGGCTACGGATCATACGAATGGTGTGTACCATGATATTTTAAATGATTTTTTGTTTGTTCAATATTTAAAACTAATCATCCTGAAATCCTGACTGTGGATCTTTGCAAATTGAGCGAATCTGATTTAAAATATGAAAGACTTAAAACCACTTTTTAAACCTTTCTATAAATGTTGAATTTTTGAGCTCGACTAATTTGAATTTTTTTATTAATATTTTTATATATTTTGGCAGACTTAAAAATTTTTCTCAAATATTGCTAATGATTGAAAAAAGGCATTAAATACATTTATAAGGGTGATTATTTGTTTATATTGTACAACAATTAATCATAAATATTATAAAAAAAATTACCAATAAACCTCATACTTGAATTTATATTATTTGAAACTATTTAATTAACAAAAAAGGCTCTTAAAGAGCCAAATTGAAATAAAATTTGAGTCACTTTTTGTCTAGTTTTTGCATTATATGGAATTTTTTCTATTTTCTCCAGATAAGAAAAAAATCCGGGCGCACGCGCTCGGGCAAAAGTGCGCCGACTTTTTGGTCTTACTGGCGAGCTGCCGTGTTTATTGATCTTTTCTTGGACTTGCAGAGCGGCAGGCACCGGCCGACGAAAGTCAACCTGCGCTGTCCTGGGGTAGGTCCTACCGATTGCGAGATTTGCCGGGCGCTCTCGAATTTGCACACGCGGTGCTGACGCAAAAAAATAAACCGACATCTGCTCGCCAAAATGCAGCGGGGGATTTTTTTGCCCTCTCACTTAGCGCAGGCATTCGGCGTTTCGAATTTTGGTTTAAATTTAGAGCAGGAATGAAATTCTCCCTAAATTTTTCAGTTCAGTTGGTGGTGCATTTTGAAGCTGAGAATCGTGGAAAAGAGAAGGGAGTCGCGCAAACACTCACCGGGGTTGTTGACCCACTCTTGCAGGGCCTTCTGCAGGCGGCGGACGTGCAGCGGCTTCGAAGCCATGCCGACCAGAGCCATGATCTCGAGGAATTCCTCCTCGCCGGCTTCGCACAGCTGCTGAACATCGTCACCTCCTGAAATTACCGAAATCGTGATTCAACAAATGAATAACGTGTGTGTTTGTCATGAGGAAATCGTTCACTTTGGGGAATGACGGAATTGACAATTTTAAATACAAGTGCACTAAAATTTTCCTTGATCAATTTCAACTCATAAAAATGCGATTGATTATGTGAAATTAAACCATTACGATATATCAAAAACACGTAAATGCTGAAATTAAACAAAATATAGACTTATTTATGTTAATTGTGAATAATTTTTACATGACTTCCTCTCTGGAATGTCCATAAAGTGAACTTTTTAATTATTTTTTGGGGGCAATGGCTCAATTACATGTCAAAGAACTTAAATTAAAAACTAATTGAATATTTTTCAACTATATAAGTGCAACATAATTAAAAATTTAAATACGCTCCTCTGCCCAAATATTGTGTGGTCGTGTGAGAATTAAAACTCAAGTAATGTGATTCCCCAATAAAAATATAATAATTTCATTATTTGCAATAAATATGCAGCTTTTTAAATTTACTGAAGTGAATTGGGGAGATTAAGGTAGTAAAATGTTTTCTTTCAACCTGAATACCTGACAAGGGCAAAGTTTTTTTGTCTCACGCGTTCTCAACTTTCGCCTATATTTTTTTTTTTGCCTTTAAATCAATGATTAAGGAATTCTAAAAGTTTTTGCACTCGAACTTCTTTATATAATGGAACAATTTATTACTAACCGATTTCTAAGCAGTTTTACAACATAGAAGTTGCTTCACATTTTTAATTAAATTATAATGTTTCTTTTTTTTATGCATAGTATATTTGTTGTTTTGATGACAATAATGTTTATGAATCTAATATACAGAATAAATAAATTAATTTTGTTTTTAAATTTAATGTTTTAACAACTCTATTCAAACCTTTTTTATTTTAACTTGTACCATTCGCTTATTGAATTTAATCAAATTTATTTAATATAAAATAGCATTTGTGCGATAGGGTTACATTAAAAATATTTCCCTACTTAAAAGTTCAATTTTGTTGTTATAGCGTGCTGAAAATGATGAAAATGAGGATGAAAATAATGAAAATCGCGTCCAATGATTTATTTTTGAAAAGGAGGTAACTATCTTAGAGGAAATCTTTTCCTTTCTTGGCTTTTAATTTTGTATTTAGCGTTGTAGCTCTTCAGTATGCAAAATAAATATATATTAAAAAAACCAATTTATAATTGGGAACATTCTCTTGTGTTAAGTTAGCACCAAGTTGACCAAACATGCGAGTGTCCCCTAATAAATTTTGTTGTAATTGTTAGTGGCTACAGAACGATTTCATTTTATACCTTTTTGGATACACCATCAATTACAATCAGGTTAAAACCAACAAGAATTCCTTGCGCTCAATACATCAATGGGATAATTAAGCAAGTATTACATGCCTTCCAGCCAAACTCCACGGGTGTTAACCAATTAAGAACCAGTTAATAAACACGCCAAAAAGTCCCAAATTAAAACCAAATTAAAAAACCGCCTTGCCATTGACTCGAGTTTAATTGACAAAAATAAAAATGCAATTTGGCTTAGTTCAATTGACTGTCTGACTTGTTTGGAGAAAAAAAATTGAATTGAATAGTTCCGTTATTACGGCGGCAACTTTTTTATTTGCATAAATATCCAAGTAAATAATTTGAAAATAAATTTGAATACTTGTCCTGTCACTTTGTTTATTTATATTCGAGCCGCTGAGACAACAGGTCGAGTATAATTATTTGGACTGGTATATACAGAGGGGCGATCGAGAGATAAACAAACATAATATTATTGCGGCGCCGACGAAAGCTGATACCTGCTCGCTAGGCAACCTGCGCAACTCCTATAAATTGCGAGTGGCGTTGCATATTAAATAAGCCGCTGATTTTGTGTGTGTGTATGTAACTCTCGGGTTTAAACTGGAAGAGACTACAATTTTAACCAAAATAAATTTAAATTTTAAAAGGACCAGTTAAGATAATTCAGCTCGTATGAATAGTGGTTTGTTGAAAGGAAAGGAACATAAAAAATAATAAATGGATGGGCCAGCCCTTCCATTAAAGAAAAATCATTTACTCAAACTACTATGCGTCTCGATATGAATTGGACAAAATGAAACGTGTGGGTCGATTTTTATTACTTGAAATGATTTTCAGTAATAGATAAAAAATAAAACATTGCTTCTCGGCTTTCAACGCTTTTTAAAGTGTTATTTTTCGGGTGCAGTCTCTGTCCTCCGCAAAAATTAATCAACACTACTTTCTTGCAAACTTGTCCCATTAGCTGATCGGCAATGCTGCTCGGACACCGTCCGCTTTTTTTTTGCACGTACTTCTTTTCGCCGATGAATGCTTAAAAAAAGTGAAAGGCGATCACGGAGAAGGACACGCTGACTGCTTTTTTGCCTCTGCCGAGCTGCTCAAGCAGTTACTCCTTTTTTAAGTAAATTTGTGTAATTCGTGCACTAAAAATAACACGCGTCGTCAATCGATTGCGTCACTTGCTAAAAATTAACCTGGCAGGAAACTGCGGGAAAGTAGTTACACGTGTTGAAACCGATTTTGGCTCAGGAGATTTTGCTTCAATTCACGAGTTTAACAAAAGCTCGTTGATTTATTTTTTCCTTTTTGGCAAGCACTAAAAATTTATCGCAAAAGTAGCAGAACATGTCTTTGTGTGGATTTGTACGCGCAAAACTATAGGACGAGTTTTGTATGTCCACGCAGATTAAGAACGAGTGAGACACGCGTATTTTTTTCCACATTATATATGAAAGTGTGTGCGGTTATTTTTAGGTAATGCGCCTCCGGCAGCGGCGAATTATAGCGATCGAAAACCAGTCGAGCCCTGATTATCATTTTAAAACGCCAATTAATTTCAGCAGCTCCAGAATTCACAATTTAATTTTTTGCCGTCTTTCCTGTCCCTTTTGGGTTGACAGCTATCGATGCGAAAAAGGGAAAATCGGCGGGTCAAATTGATCACGGCAAACAATTTGTTTAGCAAGATGGACTTTTCTGATTTATTATGGAGAAAACAAATATGATTTATTTGTCGACAGCTTAATATGTTTGGCGTATTTAATTACATAAATTCATTAAAGTAATATTTCAAAATTCATGGTTGGGGTTAAGTCGGCTGATCCATAATGGGTTTTCAATTTCATAATTTCTTCGGACTGCAGCCATAATTCGTGTTTAATTTAAATGTTTAGAAAAACGCCAGGTCCATAGATTTTCCTTGTTACAAACACACATATATAAAAAATTGATGAAATTAATTGAATTGCTAACTTTTTTATATACAATAATTATACAATACTTTATTTTCGTAATTTCTTTTTAATAATTTTGTAGATATTTTTTTTTAAACCCACCACTAAGTCTTCAATTTGTACTCTCAGTGTTCCTAAATGAGCCAAAGTCACCCTGCATAAATTACAAACGTTGATTCTCTGATCCGTGAATTAGTTTGAGAAAAATAATTTTAAAATGATATATTTTTCATACGAAATTAAAAAAAAACGTTATTGCAAAATCTAGCTGAAAAATGATATAGGCCTAGAACCTGATTTAATTTTTACAAAACAACTTTGTAAATCAATAATAATTAATTATGATTATGTAATTTCTTTGCCATAATTCACAACACTGAAATGTGCGTTATGATAACCATAATGTAGAGCAGGATAATGTTTTTTTTTTTTGCATGAAACTAAAACCGAATCAACAAACCCGTCAATGAATAGCTGACTTCATATACAGGCATCAATCAATCAACTCTATATCCTGAATCCTGACATTCTTTTTTAATTAAAAATAGAAAAGTAGTTTTTCAACTCGTACTTGTGGGAGTTTTACATTGCAATAAATTAAAATCATTTTATTTGGAGCTAAAAATAATCTTTTTTAAGAAATTTCATAACAAATTCTCGCTCTCTTTTTCAACAAACCAGTTCTGGTCCTTCTCAAAATTATTTATTTTAAATCAACTCCAGCTGTGAATTTAAGAACGAGTACTAATAAAAAAAGTAGAATCTGCTTTTTGATAAATACGATTGCAAATAATACAGTGTTGAAAACAATAATTGGCACAATTGGCGATTCTTTATTACGTGGCGAGGCAAGCATTAATGATTATATGGTATAGGGAGCACGACGTGACTGAAAAAAAAATTGTAACCTGCCTAAATATCAGAGGCTGTATAATTTATTGCTCATTAAATCCAACTCTGCTCTTTCTGTACATGTAGGTGCAAAGGATACTAAAATTTATATTTGGGTGAATGAGCATGGGCTGGCAACGCTCCCTTTTTGCCTTTAATTTTATAAAGTGATTAAAGTCAGAGTGGTTCCTTCTTGCAATTAAAGATGTAAAAGCTCTAATTAATTATGGAGTGTGAAGCCGATGAAAAATAATTTGCATGGAAAGGTGTGAAAAGTCAATCATATCTCAATAAGTTATTGATGGTACTTTTATAGGATCTTGAGTTCTACTTGACGTGTGAAAATGGTTTCAAATGATTATCATGACATTTGAATTATTGCGGATTAATGTCTGGCTCCATCTCGGAAACCTTTTACTTCTCGTTTATCTAAGAGTTTTAGGATACTAGAGCTGGGTCTCAATTCTTTTCCAATACGATTTTCAATTAAGATGTCATTTGACTTACGATAGAATAAATAAACTTTCAAGTAATGTAAAAATCATGTAAATATGTTACAGGATATTTTTCCTGAGCTACTAATAACCAGCATAAAAACCAATTGAGTCTCGCCCAGTTAAATTGAACAGAAAATGTAAATTAATAAAATGGCGATTGCTGTTTTTCTGAAATACTTTTTGATTAGGGCTAAGTGGGACTAAAAAGAGAAATTTTATATAAGTGCGATATTCTCTAATCAACTCAAAGTTGATTTATGAACGTTTTACAAGCACTTTAGTGTAGTATCTTTGTGGCAGAAATTCGTTTGCGTTGAATTTTTGCTGTCGCGTGTGACTCACCCATCTCGAGCAGCGTGTCGTAGTAGGCAAGAAGACTGGCCCTCTGCATCACTCGGTACAGCTGCAGCTCGGCCTCGTTGGCGGGCGCCGATGTCATCACCACTGCAAGCAAAAAATTCCACAAAATTACATTTCGGGTTAGCCTTGGCGACACTTCTTCTTCTTCTTCTTTTTTAAGCTGAAATTTTGCTCCGTCTGCGCTTGGTTAATTGAAATTATTCAATAAGCGTCTTCGCATTTTAACGACCCGCGAGAGAGATTCTTATCTGCGTCATTTCGACACATTTTGTGCTAAGTAACCGGCAATTAAGTCGCCCAAAAGTGGTTAATTGACCATGTACCTGAATCCTCGCGAAGGGAGAAGATTCAATTTACATTTTTGTTTATCTTGGTGGAAATTTTACTTCGCGCCGCCGCCTCACTTCAAAGGTTTGCAAAATAAATAAATCCGGAGCGAGTGATAAGTTTTGGTCTGACTGTTGTAAGTGCCGCCGGTTGCAGCACCACGAATCGATCTTTGCACGGTCATTTTGCTTGTCAACACACCTGGCCTCCGAATCCAGAGCACATTTTCTCTCACAATCAGTGTACACTAGAAACCGACCGTATAATGTCTGAACTCTCAGTCAGCGCAATAAACATCGTTATACACTTTCTTGCTGTTTATTTTTCAACGTACTCAAAAGAGACGCGTGAGAAGGATGTGTATTTTAATGATGCCGCTCGCAAAATTAAACGGATCGAAAATTTCAGTCGGCTTCCTTTTAAGGTAGAAATTATTTGGGTTTGATCGTGCGAACCAAAACTGGTCGAACCTATTTAACTTTGTGCTGAGAAGAGTTGTATGAAATTAATCCTGAAAACAGTTAACAGTATTTAAATAAGCTCTATCAAGTCGGCGGGATTTTAGTTTGCTTAGGAAGTAACAAAGTGTCATCCATCGAATATCAAATGCCTAATTTATTAAAGTAAAAAGGTTTTCCTTGTCTTCTCCTCAGACAAATATGCGATATAGAGATGAAGTGTGGTATATCTTTCAAATATATAAAGTTATGCTATTTTTATTGCTGACGATGTGCTGTTTGCATTTTTACCAATACAGCTTTATCTTGTTAAGATTAATTATAAAAAGTTAAGTAAAAGAAGAATTTTTTTAATCTATAATTATAAAAGAAAATCGATAGACGTCATTAGAAAAATAGGAACATTGACACGACCACAAGACCTGCGAGGATAGAAATATCTGAAGGTAAAGTCAAAATTAAAAATTCACTCGCCAGAAGGAAATGGTAAACTAACAATAAGTGCTGCAAGAGACAGGAGATAAAAAAAAATTTTCTTGAACAATAATTTAAAAGTCAACAGATTTGATAAAAAAATTCAATTTCCATTATTCAAATATACCTTCACTAGTTCTTATCGTTAAAAATAAATTAATAAAAACTCGTTTCATCCAGTTAAAAAATAAAATAAAATTATCTTCATTTAGCAGTCTATGATAAAGGCAAAAGGCTAACAGAGTTACTCTTTTAAACAAGGCGAGCTTTATAAACGCTATTTTTTTCACACAGAAATAAATATTTTTAATAGCATTCAAAATTTATTAAATTGGAAGCATATGTTGGCAATGCCATCTGCGTTTAAGAAGATTCAATACGCATCTCTTAATTAATTCATTTTCATTACTTATACCCTTCAATCGTTTTAAATGTATTTTATATATGGAAAGGTGGATTCAATCAGATTTCATCTCTCAAATGAGAGGAAATTTTAATGTTAATAGGCGCACGGACCTAAATAATTTTTCAATAAAACTCGCTTGTTATTCAATCAAAGGTGCGCGTGTTCCTTGATCACAAAGAAGCGGTCGGGTCGCGAGTTTTTTCCTTCCCGCTCCCCCTGTAATTTTTCACCCTCGGCTGATTCGCGTGGCGGCATCAAAGGCATACAGATGCACAATGGTATAAAAAATAGTGGCCCCCTTTTCTTGCTCGGCTCTTTTGAATGCAAATAATATAATTCTTTGCGCCATATGTGTAAGGAGGTCATATTTCTGGAATGATCAGTCGATAAATTGTCCAAATGCGACTAATATGAAAATTTATGATCTCCTTGAGAGCATATAATGAGGTTAGAGTTAAAAGCAATACAAGCCGATTTAAATATATATGATAACCTGTTGGATATATTTAGAAGACCTGCGCTGCGATTTGATCCACATTTTTGACAACATGTAATAAATAATAGTGTTCAAAAATATACAACGCTCCATTTTTTTTCAGGATGGAAAGTGCGGACAGCAAAACAACGCGGCGGACCTTGCAGGAGACTAATTTATTTCATCGGTACTTTCACGTGAAATTTCGATGTCTTGCATTGAAAACGGCAGTAAGGTCGGGTGGAGTTTAAAATTGTAAGTAAAAACAAGTTTTGTAGAGACATATTTTATTTTCGTCCAAAAAACCTTAACCCACAAGTTGGGCCTGCACATATCGAGAGGCGAGAAAGAGAGGGAAAGGTGTTTCTAAAAAAGTATATTTTTATCTCACACCACTGCGCCTCAACCGCAAACCTATTGGTTTACATATTTAAATAATTGGGGTTTGCGAAAAAAAAATGGCAGAATAAGGCGTGTAGTTGACCTACATTGAGCGTATAAAAATGGCGTCGTGCGAGCGGCACCTTTCCCGACAGAAATATCACTCCTTGACTTAATTATGATTTTTTTTTAAATAACCTCAAAATGTCGCTGATTTTATTTTATGCATGCAACTTGACATCTTCTGTTTTTTATTTTACACAATTAATTGCGAGAACGCTTTGAATCCAAGGCTTGTGCGATTTTAGGGAGTGCTGAATTGTGAAGCAATTTTGCGCCAGGACATGTCCATAAAATTTTTATTTCCAAATTGCCGACATGTATTCAATGCGGTATTTTTTGCCAAAACTATTTATGTGGTGTATTTCGCGATTTGCATTTAATATCAATTGATATCAATTAGAATACAACTTACTTGGAATGCTAATTTCTGTTTAGAGGACAACTTTTATTCACTGCTTGTGCCGCACGTAAATGTATTTTATTAAAAACGAACCATTTTCGCATAAACCGAAAAACGTCCCGGCACAACTTATTAGCATAGTGCGTATCACAGAGTTCAATCGGAATATTTAATGCTTTTTTACTGCAAAACAAATTAAATTTTATTAATTATATGGAATTCTTTATTACTTTTTGCCTTTGAAAAGAACCGCATTGCCCGTCCCGTTTCTCATGAATTTTTTTTTATTGTTCTTTTCGTGCATATATCATTTCGTATTGAGTAATTTTTAATACAAAATTGCGCGAAGAAAAAGAAAATATTAAAAACAAATCTTCAATAATTTGATTATGATTCTAATTTGTTCTGAAATTATTGGCAGCAATAATTACTCTTAGAGAAAATAAATTAAATTAACCTGTCTAGAATGGAATATTTTTTCGAATTAAATTTTGAATCAGAATACCAAAATTGGCAGAGATCTATTGTTATAATGAATATGGAGCAATTAAAACAGTACGTCTTTAAAAACCTTTTGAGATTTTTCAAATTCTGTTTTTGGCAAGATTTTTCTTTTCACTCAACACAACTACAAAAAGCCGTGCTATGAAATAATTCCACAATAATAGCATTTTAAAATTATATGATTTTTGTCTAGGCCGTGAATGTGTTTATGTGATAGACTGATGTAGCGTGTGTGCATTTAGTGGATGCGAGTGTGCCAGTAAAAAGTGCGCGGTGCAACTCACACGATTTGAATGTGCAGTGGCCGTCTGACGCGACTCCACGTACGCGACTATTTAGAGACGAGGGCAGAGAGGGGTAGGTCGGTCGGTCGCTTGGCCAACACACAATCGCCGTGCACAGAGACGATGCACTTTACGCAATTGTAAAAATAGTGAGCAGTCGTTTGGCTGCTGCTATGGGTGCAAGTGCATCCTCGAACGGGCGCGCGTGTGGCCCAGGAATAGACACTTCACACACGGACAAGAATCTGGGTTAATGCACCGCACGCAGAGGGTGCTCTTCCATCTCTCTCACTCGGAATACGCAATCTCTTCAACCCACCCCCTCTTGTCAATTGGACCTTGATGTAAATTGGAGCGCAACCAAATAAACCATAGTGTGAAAAAATAAATATTGTTTGAATCGACATGTCGTTTTTTATCAAATTTAATAACATAGGAAAATTGGTTTAAAAAAAAAATGGGAATGATTCAATTTTAAAGTGATTTTTCTGCCTTTTTAAATATTTTAGATATTTGTACTATTACGTACTCAGTCTTTTGTGTCTATTTAATAGGACTGTGTGTATTTATTTGAATATTCCCTTATTAAAACCAAATTAGTGATTATTATTTAATTCGAAAATTAGCACTTGAGATTGTTTCATGAAAAATTTAGTCCTATTTGGATAAAAACAATAGCATTAATGGAAAAAACATGTGATCTCTGCGGTCTGCTGGTACTTTGAAGTATCATTGAGATCATATTATTTATTATTTTTTGTGTGTGGAATAACATCTAAAGAATTAATAAAAAAAAAAAATGCATACCAAACATTGTTTTTTAATAAATACGGGAACTGATTCTCAAAATTAGAAACCTCTAAGCAACAAGTTTCCCCAGCAGTCCTTTTACCAAGAAAGTATTTTTTTTTTCTTGTATGGAGAAAATGTCTATTTAAATTACCTAATTTTCTGGTCACGCTACAATTAATTTTGATCAATTGCAATACAAATATTTATTTACCAAAAAATCTCAGGAAAATCTGCTACAATTAAGTCTCCCTGAGGTAAAAAATTTTGTGTAATTTGAAATAATTTACCGCGGTATAAAAATTCCATTCAAGAGTAAAATAATTAAATCCAATTAACTTTAATAGCAACCGAAGTACAGTGAATACGTCCAGCGTAGAAATTGGAATGCCGAGTTATGATGATTGTGTGGACCTAAAAGGAAACCTGCAATATCAATTTGCGTGCCCATCAAAACAAATGTTCCTCTAGAGCGGTGGCCACACGCCAAAAAATGACTTCATTTAAAATTTGCATTATTTTT